CTTGATTGGAAAATACACAAACGAAAAAAATTGTCCCAACATTGCGAAAATAAGAATTTCGTACTGACAAAGTCGCGCATGTCAACACAAACCGCATACTCTAAAAAACGGTTTCGCCTCTAAAGGATAATCTGCACATGAAACCAGTGCCTTTGAAACTTATGTGACTCGCAACAAAATTACATTAAATCCGGGTGAGTACATTGGCAAGACTTACCGGCAAAGCATGGACAAGTACAAACTTCATTGACTAATATCTTCATCATGTGAAACTCACTTCATTAGTTTCAAAAAATAATTCCATAAGGAAATCCAGAAAGACATTTTGTTTCACAGGGTTGGCTGCAACAAATCAGAAATGTCTGCATTAAGAATATGTTGCACTACTCATCACTAAATGATATTTGATGCATGTCTATTACGTTATTTTCGACTCAGTCAAGCTGTATGGGCTTGTTTGTTTGGGCGAACTTTTTCTCTGATGAGGGAAATCCTCCCGCTACCCGATCATGTCGTGGGTGAGCGCATCTCAGTTTCAATTCGAGGCCGGCAAGGCACGGGCACAGCTTTATCTCAATACTCTAAGAAAGGGAACACAGTGCCTATGACCGGGCTTAGAGCGTATCTAATGCCCCGTATCTCGTCCATACGTAGCTCCCGGAAAAGAGCCTATAAGAAACAGACAAGATACAAATCAATATTTCAGAATGAATAGCCAAAAATTGTAATTAGCTATAACCAGTTGCTCAAGAGTGAAAGAACCAATAATTATTTAATATCAAAAATCCGAAATGCTGCTCGTTCTCGGTGGTCGTCTCTCGCTTCTTCCTGTCATTCCAGTGGATCTTCAAGTCCCAGCGATAGTTGCGTGGACGTCAGGGACTACCACCAGCGACCACCAGGACACAGAGCTTTGCATAATTAACAAACTATATTTAACAAGAAACAAAACAAATTATATACACTTAATAATCTACTTACACCCTAGACTCTAGCCTACTGATTTCCCCTGATACGCGGCAAGAGCGTATTCCCAAAACGCCCGTTAGTCTTGAAGATAGTTTAGTGATTGTGGCATTCGGCCACTCCTACTGTTGGAAGCGCGCACAAGGCCTAGCTTCCGTGAACCTGGATGTGCTCACGCTGGACCCCACAAAGTCCGTCATGGCGCACCAACGGCTGGTTGCCTCGATACGCAGGCTATGGTTTAAAAAAAAGCGAATCTTGATACCGATTGAGAATCGGAGCGTGAATCGTAGCAACTCCAACCACCTCTTCACCTCGGCATGCACGTCACAACAGCGATTCGACCCGCCCCGAATGGAGACCGCAAGTCACCAAGGTACATAAAGCCACAGGCTTCGGTCAAACTTAGGACTCGAAAGCCTCTGCGCGAGCCCTCGGCTCCGCCAAAATTGTCAGCCTCGTGGCGCCAATGTTTTTGTGCACACGCCACGAGTGTCTCCCGCTGTTCTCCAGAACCCACCCACTTGGCTCTGATTCTCTGGTTATATAGGCGAGAGCGCCACGTTACCTACTACGTCACGCCACACCCCCACACTCGCTTTCGTATAACCAGTGACAAGAGTTGCTCTATTAAGGCCGGAAGACGCCAAGCCTTGAGTCTGTCTCCTCGTCCTTCCGCGTTATGTCTCCTTAGCGGAAAAAACCCTCTTCCTTGCGCTAGATGCTCTGCCAATGCCGTTCCACAGCCCAATAGATGCTCTACGAGGCACGCTAGGCTAATCGAATCACGGTTAACAATCATCATTAAAGATCTACATTACTTTACTAATGGTATGTAACTTCGTTAAGTAAAATTATGTACTCTTTTTAACTTACAGAAAATTATAATATATATTTAAATGTGATGGAAAAAATTAGAATAATTAAATCTTCTATCCTGTTTGAAACAGATTTCCATGATTCAGATTCGTACAGTTCGTCTCTATATTTTATGAAACTCGCCCATGATTTTACATTTATTCTAAGTTGCACCCGCAAAAGAGGATGTGAATTTCCCTTATATGCTCGACTTCGAAGTCAATTGCCTGACCTCTGAGAAACACTTTAGTGCACATGGCTAACGGATGAAAAATATACGAAACTTTGTGTGTCAACTTGCTCATCCCCCAATTTGCGCCAATTAATACTAGGACGTAACGGAGGCTACGTATCCCCAATTGGCGTTTACTGAGAGGAGACGGGACCGGTTGGTCTTCGTGCTGAGAATTGGTGAGGGGCATTACCATATCCTACTTCAACGGTGATACACGATACCACGATTTGCTCCAGAACTTAGCTTCAGACGTGCCCAGATTTACATTTTAATTTGGAGCGGTGAATGACTGTTAACATTTCCTTCTTGACTCGCAAATTGAAGAATAATTAATTTAAGAAAATATAATGAAATACCCGAGGGTACCGAGCGGTTCAAAACACACACGAAGCGTTTGCGATTTCATCACATAGAAAAAAAACGCCTTCCAAGAACTTACTTTTAGTATAATTATATAAAGAGTATCCCCGGCCTTACATTTATTTCTCTATAACTTTAAATAATATATATAAATGTGTCTAAGCAATAAATTAAATATAAACGGCGTTGCTGATCCCCAAAGACTAGCTTATAAATGCGGTGACATTATCAATAACTAAGAGATATGCGATTGACGTTTACATACTATGCTTCTACCCGGAAAACGTAACCAGAATCGTTTGCTATACTATTGTTCAGAATGCCGGTTTGAAAATTTACGACGTGTTTGTTTTGCCACACAACTTGGCTATACTAAGGCGGTTGAATACATTTCAAGTCGAGAACATAGCCACCCGCGTCGCACAACCAGCTGCTGCGCCGATAGGATATGTTTCCGCTCGAGCTGCCGCGCGTCCTTAAAGCTTACCTTAGTCTCCTTTGACTCAATGAGTCAGTTGTAAGACAACAGGATTATTGCCGACCGCACAGTAACAATGACTCGCTCGGGAAGTGCGATGAGCTGGCTCTCAGCAGCTGCACGGACAAGCGCAGCTGACTTTATAGATCAGCGGCCTGCCTTCGCCAGGTGTCCCGATAGGCAACCGCTCTGCACCCTTTTTGTCTGCTTAGCCTGCCCCAACGAACGATCACCTTCTGATAATGCGTCGCCTTGGTATGGTATCCCTCTGCCCCTGCACCGCTCCGCTCACTACTACGACAGTTCCATCGCGTCCCCACCCCCATCACATGACCTCACATCTTGGCCCGAACACTAAGACAGCTATATTACCAACATCCTCCCCCTATCGCACCCCACAAACTCTCTCTGTACTCACACCAACCGAGTCCCGTTACCTCCGCTTTCTCCATCCACCTGTACATCCCAGCCACCGCCATTCCACCTCCTAGTTCGCCCGCCTTTTTCCCGTTAACACCTAAACATAACTCTCGGTCACCGCCCGTGCCCCATCTACATCGTTTCCGGTCTATCCGGTCTGGACCCGCCACCAACGGCCTTCTATACCCTGTTTCCATTCACTGCATATCTCCGCCACGCCGATCCCCGTCTCCGTCCTGTCACGTCCAGCCTCCGGTCACCGCGGCATGTCACCGCCCCTCAGTGCACCGCACGTCATGTGATCTAGACCTCGGCCGTACACTGTCAGCCCGCCGAAATCTTCCCTCGCTCATGTATTTATATCGACCCGCGGCCTCTATTATCTGTTCCGCTGCTTTCTCTTTACTCCGTCATCGTTGCACAAACACTTGACCAATCAAACCGTCCTCACCACCCCTCTTTTTCTTGCTGCAGAGCGCTGTATACTCCCGACTCACATCGAGCCTTCTGCGACCTCAGAGCCCCGATCCGGCTAACATTTATGTTACCTAGTAACCCGATAAATTTACGGCCCATTGTTGCTTACGACTCCACTGTCATATCCTTTCTCCTTCTCCTCTCCTCCCTGTCTGGCTTCTTATGTCGTTACAGGTCAATCTGTCTCTCTCTCGCGCTGTCGGACGAGGAGAAGCTGGCGGAGATGGCGCTGTTCTCATTGGAGAATTCCGTGCATGCCAGGCCCGACACGCTAGCTTTGTCAGATGACAAAATGAGAAAATAAGCAATACATAACCAAGGTAGAGCATCTCTTCGGAGTGTCTGTTATGCTCGCACCTCATGCTATTCAGCCTCCCTCCGAGACTTCAGACGGCGTCCTGTGAGACTTCTGACGTGGCTGATGCGTTGGATATTCCCCGACTCTGCGTTTTGCTTCTCGCAGTCCGAAGTTCGTGTGTTCTCTTATCAACCACTACATGGTAGTCAGCGAAGAAGAGAATACTCCTTGCCAATGTCGACTCTTATAACGATTCATTATAGTTTGTGTTTCACTCTGTAATGGTTATATTACAAAGTCTAATTCCTAGAGACAATCCCAGACAAACAGTTAATTCTGCAAATGGCTTCTGTCGCAAAATTGGTTAACACACCCAAGTCATTAAATTGGCTTTTGTGAGCCGTATGTATCTATATTATTCATCCCCATCTTGCATCTTATCTAGTCGGTCTCTTAGTTATTGAATCTCAATACCGTTAATGAATTCAAGCCTTTGACAAATGTTCAATTGTTTCCTTGATATCTATTCGTAACGTCCTTGTCATAGAGATGGTTCTTAGCATGACAATAGATCTGAATTTAGATATTACATTATGAAGTAAATTGTATTTTTATTCATCTTTGTATGTCACACTCTTTTCCATAGAATCTACCTC